GGGAATTGTTGACAGCTTGGAAAGCGCCTCTGATTAGACTAAGAAGCTGAGATGGCTGGCTTTCTACAGTGGGGCCTGGTGTCCAAGCTGGGCTCAGGCTCTGGGGAAGGGACTTAGGGGCTGTATCACTTTGAGGGGCTGTCTAGGGGTTTTGGGTGCTTCGGGTTTCAATAACTTATTTGGACCTAAGGCTATCTCGACTATTGGCTCAACTTTTAATTTGACTAGGATAAGGGTTCCAAAAGGAGGGGTCTGATAAAGATATAGGCCCCAGGTTAACCCTGTCTGCCATCGGGTGTCTTTTTTTCCTTGTTCTGTGAACTGAAGCCTGAGCAGATTACAGTCTGGGCTGTACCTAGTTCGGGTGCACGGTTTAACAAATGAGAGAGTGATGAGCTGGGGAGTTACTTGCCACTTCCACTCCCCGTCATTGGTGGTAACACAACTCCAGCGTGCACAGTATCGGGCCTCAGCCCCTCCACACTGCTGCTTCGCTGGCCCTGTTCGAAACCCTGGGCACGCATAAAACCCATTTCGACTCACAGAGACTCTGCGCTGCTTTTCTCGCCAGTCTCCTCCTCCCATTCCAACAGGACAGAACTGAGGGGCGCAGGGAAGAGGGAGGCCTGAATGCTGACTCTTGCCTTTTCCGCCTCTCTTTTCTAAGTCCGCTACTCTATCTAGGTTAAAGTACAGGTTAGGGAACCACGTGCCTAAGGGAGTCGTGTGGGAAGTGCGGTTGTATATTTCATGAGTTTCCCAGTTCTCTATTTCCCAGGTGAGCTGATAGGGGACATGGGGGTTAGGGTCGCTGAGTGCAATAGGGGGAAGGCACAATATATATAATATGAGCGGCGCAGTCTTAGCTTTTGTGAATTGTCTTTGTCCAGCTGACGTGGTCATCTTGGAATAGAGTTTTTGGGAATGGTGCGTGGGTCAGCTTAACGGCGCTGGTGTCTCCAGACATGCACCTGGTCACTTTAGGGGTCTTATGGTGATTTTAAGCCAGAGAGGATTCTCAGTAGACTGGGCTCTCCATGTGAGATGGTCATCGGCCGTCTCGGCTGAGATAACGGGTTTCACATGAGATGCGTGAATCCAGGCAGCAATCCCGTCGACTTTGACTGCTGTTGGGGTAGTCAGCAACACTAAGTAGGGTCCTTTCCTCCGTGGCTCAAGGGTCTGTGTTTGGTGCCGCCTTACAAACACAAAGTCTCCAACTTGGAATGGGTGGGCTGCTTCTGGAGTGCCGGGCTCATAGACTGCTTTCAGTTGGGTCCACACTTCTCTTTGGACTGCCTGGAGAGCTTTCAACCTATTATATAAATCGCGGTTGTCAGTCTGGGTAATGGGGAGGGGGTCATGTAGGCAAGTAAGCGGGGTGGGGGAGCCATACAAGATTTCAAAGGGTGTTAGATTGAGATGAGTAGGGGGGTTCTGAGCTAGGAACAAGGCCAGGGGAAGGAGCACCACCCAGTCTGAGCCAGTCTCTATGGTCAATTTAGTTAAGGTCTCTTTTAGGGTTTGATTCATCCTTTCTACTTGCCCTGAACTCTGGGGTCTGTACATGCAATGTAATTTCCAATCGGTCCCCAAATACTTAGCAACTCCCTGACTTACCCGGGCGATGAAAGCAGGTCCATTGTCAGATCCTATTACCTTAGGTATCCTGAACCGAGGAAATATTTCTTCTAATATTTTCTTTATTACTACTGCAGCTGTTTCCTACCTTGTTGGAAAGGCTTTGACCAATCCTGGAAAGGTATCTATGAACACTAGGAGATACTTAAATTTATACTTCCCTGGTTTAATTTCAGTAAAGTCTATTTCCAAAAACTGTCCAGGCCGGTTCCCCCTTGCCTGTTTTCTAGTCCATTTCTTCTTCCCAGGTGAGTTTGTTTCTTGACAAGGAATGCACGGCTTAACTATGGATTCAGCTATCTGCTGCAGGTTCGGCACATACCACCCAGAGTTTAAAGCAGTCTGAGTAAGTTTGTGTGCTCCTAAGTGTGTCCACTGGTGCATCTGTTTGATTATAGCTTTGGCAGTTGCTTGGGGCAGGATGATTTTTCTATCTTGGGTGCACCAGGCTCTCTTCTGTTCATCAAAATAGTGAGTACGGTCTTTGGAAATTAGTTCTAAATCTGCTGAGCTATATTGATAGGGTGGCAGGCTTGGCTCAGGCTGGGTTTCAGAGAGGAAGATTTCTACAGTCTTTGCGGCCACTTCTCGGGCCGCTTGATCAGCCATATTATTGCCTACAGCAATGTAGGACTTCCCAGGTTGGTGGGCGGGGCAATGAATTATACTTACTTTGGCTGGTTTGTGCAAAGCTTCTAAGAGTGCCATGATTTCCGGCTAGTTTTTTATTTCTCTTCCTTCGGAGGTGAGGACTCCTCTGTGTTGGTAAATGGCTCCATGCACATGTGCCGTCGCAAAGGCGTATCTACTATCTGTATAGATGTTAATTTTCTTTCCAGACCCCAGTTCCAGTGCTCTCATAAGAGCAATGAGCTCAGCTTTCTGTGCCGAGGTTCCCTCGGGGAGGGGCTGAGCCCACACTATTTTTTTTCCATCTACTACAGCCGCTCCTGCCTTATGCTTTCCTTGGTCTAGGTAGCTGCTTCCATCTGTGAACCAGGTGGCTTCAGCATCTGGTAAAGACAGGTCAGTCAAGTCTTTACGCCACCCATGGGCTTCAGCTAATACTTGCTGACAGTCATGCACCGGGGGTTCAAGTTTGGGGTCTGGCAGCAAAGTGGCCGGATTGAGACTGATCGGCGGAGAGAATGTCACCCAGTCAGGGTTGAGCAACAGGGCTTGGTAGTGAGTTATCCGAGCATTTGTAAGCCACCGATGCAGGGGCTACCAGATTATGCTTTCTAGCGTGTGCGGAGCAGTCACGGTTAGATTTTGCCCTAGGGTCAATTTGTCCGCATCTTTGACTAGTACTGCTGCTGCCACAATTATTTTCAAGCACGCAGGCCAGCCGGCGGCTACTGGATCTAGTTTTTTAGACAGGTATGCTATGGGCCGTTTCCACAGTCTGAGCTTCTGAGTCAGCACTCCTTTGGCTGTCCCCCTGTTCTCTGCCACGAACTGGTGGAAGGGTTTTGTCACATCAGGGAGTCCTAGAGCTGGGGCAGACATCAATGCCAGCTTAATGGCATCAAATGCCTTCTGTTCTTCCTCTCCCCAAGAGAACGATCTAGCTTTGGTGAGAGGGTAAAGGGGGGCTGCCATCTCTGCAAACCCAGGGATCCATAGCCTGCAGAATCCTTCAGTCCCCAGTAATTCTCTGACTTGCTTAGGAGTCTCAGGCTGGGGAATATGGAGAACAGTCTCTTTCCTTGTGTCTGACAGCCACCTCTTCCCTTCTTGTAACACATAGCCCAGGTAGCTTACCTGTCGTTTGCAGATTTGTGCCTTCTTGGCTGATGCCCGATATCCTAGAGTTCCTAATTCTGCCAGAAGTTTCTCCATCCCTTTCAGGCAATCTTCTCTCATTTCAGCTGCAAGCAGAAGACCATCAACATATTGCAACAAAGTTACCTGGGGGTTAGCTTCTTGATATAGCGCCAGGTCTTGGTTGAGAGCTTCATCAAAGAGGGTGGGGGAATTTTTGAATCCTTGCGGGAGTCAGGTCCACCTGAGTTGCCCCGTCATTACTCCGTCTGGGTCTCTCCATTCAAAGGTGAAAAGCTCTTGACTCTTTGGCGCAAGTTGGAGGCAGAAGAAGGCATCTTTTAAATCTAAAATGGTATACCAGCCTCGGAGAGGTGGCAAGGAACTTAAAAGATTATAAGGATTAGGAACTGTGGGATGAATGTCCATTACCTGCTTGTTAACTTCTCGCAGATCTTGGACTGGATGGTATTCATTTGTGCTGGGCTTCCTGACAGGAAGAAGGGGGGGGGGGTGGTTCCAAGCAGATTGACATCTGCCCAATATCCCCAACTGGAGGAATCGGGTGATATGGGGTCGGATTCCTTCTCTGGCTTCTCTCAGCATAGGGTACTGGCGAATGGCTATGGGGGTGGCTTGTGGTTTTAGTTCGACATAGAAGGGCGGCCTATGTTTAGCCTTCCCGATTCCTGCCATCTCTGCCCATGCCTGAGGGAACTTTCTTAGCCACAGGCTGAGATCTCCCAAGCCTGGGTTCTCTTTTTCAAATTCAAAGAGTCTATACTCATCTTCTAACATCACAGTCAATATCTGGATGGGATCCTCTGAGGTCCTTTTAAGCTGTGGCCCCTCTGGCAGGAAATGGATCTGGGCTTTCATTTTTGTGAGCAAGTCTCTTCCCAATAAAGGATATGGGCAATCTGGGATCACGAGGAAAGAGTGAGACACTAATCCTGTTCCCAGGTCTACCGTCCGTGCGGTGGTCCAAGAGTACAGTTTATTCCCCGTGGCTCCCTGGACCCATGATTTCCGATTTGAGAGCCGTCCATCAGCTTGTTGCAATACTGAGTGCTGTGCCCCGGTGTCTACTAAGAATCAAGTAGGTTTCCCCTCCACAGTTAGGGTTACCCTAGGTTCGGGGAGGGGCTCCGAACCCCATCCCCCCTAATCACTGTCTTCGTGCATGGTCAGAATTTTAGGGTGGGCAACGGGTTTTTTCCACTGCTGAGGTTTCTTTCTCTTGTTTGGGCATTCTCTGGCCCAATGTCCTTTCTCTTTACAGTACGTGCACTGATCTTTATCTAGCTGCTGTCTCCTGCCGCCTGGCCCTGGTTTAGGTTCTCTGGTCTCTCTCACAACAGTGGTGAGGATTTTATGGAGGTTGCGTTCTTGCTGTCTTTCTTTCCTCAGCTCTCTTTCCTCAGTCTCTCGCAGCTTCCTACCTTCTTTTTCCTCTTCAGTCTCTCTATTGTGATACACTTTCTCTGCCACCTGTACTAAGTCTCGCAGGGTTTTGTCCTGCAGTCCTTCTAGCCTCTGCAGTTTCCTCCTGATGTCTCTACTAGATTGATCTATAAAAGCTACAATAACTGTGGCTTTATGTTCCTCACTGACTTGATCATACAGAGTATACTGCCGAAAAGCCTCTATGAGCCTTTCTAAAAATGCTGAGGGGGATTCATCAGGTCCTTGAAGGACTCCCCTTACCTGAGCCAAATTGGTGGGGCGCCTCACTGCTCCCCTGAGACCTGCCATCAGAACCTGGCGGAAGACTTTCAGGTGCTCCTTACCTTCCTGGGTGTTGAAGTCCCAATCAGGTCTGGTTAGGGGGAACCCCTCCTCAATAATGGCTGGGTTCTGAGTGAGTCGCCGATCAGCCCCCAGTACATTCTTCCAGGCCTCTAGGAAGATCCGGTCTTTTTCTTCCATGGTAAACAGGACCTGTAACAACTGGTTGCAGTCATCCCAAGTGGGCTGATGGGTGAAAAGTAAAGATTCAATCAGATTGATCAACCCTCTGGGATTTTCTGAAAAAGGGGGATTTGGGGCCTTCCAGTTGTATAGGTCTGAGGAAGAAAAAGGCCAATACTGTAGGAGTTGCTGGCCATCCTCAGAGGGCGGGCTGAGGGCTCGAAGGGGAAGTGTCACAGCGGCCCCTGGTGAGGGGGCCCGGCGGCTCCTTGTCCCTCTGGCTGGGCCAATGTTCTGCCCTATGCTGGCCTGAGAGGTCGGAGGAGGTGGGGGAATGATGGGAATGGGAGGGACAGGAGGAACGGGAGAGAGAGGAGGGGAAGGAATAGGGACGGGGGGGGCAGCAGGTTGGGGGGAACAATAGGAGGGTATGGAGGGGGAGAATTGAGGAGGAGGAGATCTGCATCGGGGGGTGAAGGCAGAACTTTCTTAGGTTCTTTTGGGTCTTTGTGGAGCGCAAAAACCTCTGAGGATGGGTGGGGTAAGAAGGGCTGAACCAAAGAGGGGGGTTCTGTGACTAAGCTTTCCCAAACAAGAATATAAGGAGTCTGGTCTTGGTGTGCGCAGGATCCAGTTTCAAAGACTTTCTTTGAAAAGGAGGGCAGAGGGCATCAAGAGTCAGGAAAAAGGACTAATAACATTTAACCTAACTGCCTAAAGCATGGGCCACCCAGTTTTGAATAAACAACCCGAGGCTAAGCTTAGAAATGCGCCTGCTTTAAGTTAGATAACTAGAAGTGGGCAACAGCCTGGGGGCGTGATCCGTGATAAGTCACATAGGCATGCTTGGGTAAGCAAGAGATAACGATTGAAGCGGTCAGGCAACTGGAGTGTTCCCTAAAAGGCTACAATATAGAATGTGTTTTAAAATTATTGGTTGTAGAAATGCACAGGCTTCAGTGTAACGGCTGTGAAAATCCTATATAAGCAATACCTAAAGTTGCCTGGGGGTCGGCAGCTCGGACTCTGCCTGCGTGTCAGAGGAGGTGCTGTCGACCCCAGCTTGCTGGCTGAATAAAGACTTTGCCTGTACTTACATCTCCATGCCTGTGTGCTTTGTTCTCTCGGGAAAACCCTGAGTTCCTGGACCCTAACATCTTCTTGACTGCCTGTATAAGGGGTAGAGAGAAAGATCCCCCGGAAGGCCAGCCAACCTGAAAGGCCAGCCAATCGGCTGAGGCCAGAGTGTTCCATTTATCCTTTTTAACAAGAACAGACATATTATTTGCTCTACTCTTTATGTCCCCTCAGTGTCTTAAAGTCAAGTCTAAAGGAGTCATCTGCATCTGTCCCATTTCTTCCATCAGTAACAACACTAGGATAAACACAATAGCTAACAAACAGGTGCCTACAGAAAAGAATCTACCGCGGCCGGGGAGGCAAAACTGAAACTTGAGTTGAGGGTCTGTCAGACTGCAGCGGCAGCTAAATTTCCTCACAGATGAGGACCTCGTCCTCCAGACGGGGGCAAGGGATGTCTTCCAAGACCCTTGGCCGGTGACCTGCCAGCGTGTCCGCCTAAGTCAATGCTGACCCAGATACAGATTGGACCTCCTACAGGCTTTATACAGGTTTCAGGTTTGTTCGCGAACAAAAACACTGGGTGCGCTCACCATCCGGCAAGGCACTTTCTGATTAAACACAGAACATTCTTACAGGTTTGACAAGAGACACACGGATACAAACACAGTATTACCTGGCCAGGGCAAGCCTCCGATCCTTGGCTTGTCGTTCCTCCAGGGGGTGCACGCGATCCTGGACGAGCCCCCAAATGTAAGACCCAATGGCCTTATTCCGGTCTGCGCTTCCCCCCCAGTGAGGAGACGAAGGCCACAGCAGATTGATGAACAAGCAAGAGGTTTATTATTATTTCAGTTAGCTGGGGTCCAAGTGTCTGCCCGACACAGCGGGTTTCAACAAGGACCCAGAGTACTCAAAGCCAAGGGTTTATATAGCATTTTCAAAACACTTAACTCATAGTAATTTTCCACAGCTGCACATTATTTTGCTAGTCATACGTCCTGGGGTTAAGCAAGAGCAAGATAAGACCACTCCTCAATTGTTAGGGAGGTTCTGCACGATAAGCTTGGTATGTAAGATTAGCTGACCAAGGTTAGCTGACCAAGGTTCACAGCTGCCCACTACCCGGTGTTCATGATTAGCTTGTTTTTCAAGGCCTTACCCAATTCCAGTTTTTCTTTCTAAGTCACACACACTCAGAAAATGGCTTCTAGGCCCTTAAGATGGCTACTCTTATGCTAACCTATTTCTATTCTTACAAAAGTAGATTGCCAGTCACCTCAGATCACGTGGAAAGCACTTTCAGGAGGTACCTGTAGAGTCAGAGGAAAAAGTTCTGCCTTCAACACTGAAAACAAAGACTGTAATTGTTTTTATTCCTGGGAGATAGCAGGAAGGTAGGTGTTATTCTTAATATAGAAATAAGAAATAAGGAGAAAGCTATTTACTGATTTTTTCTCTTAATAAGAACAGTAGAATCTTATTTACCTGAGATTAATGATGTGTTATTGTTTTCACAACACAAAACATTATTTTGTTCAAAAATAATTTTTTCTTACAAATATCCTTAAGTTGCAATAAACACATTAAAATCCAAAAAAATTAGAAGATCAAAGTAAAATCCTTAAAGAAAAGAGTCATAATTTACTATACATCTGTTATTGCCCCAGACCTCAAATAAGGAAACAGTAACTTCGGGCTTTCTGTTCCTCCCTTCCTACCAGGTGCTCAGACTGTATGATGGGGTTGAGGAGTTCTGAACTGCTCTAGGGGTGGAGAAGCAGAGGAAGAAAGGGAGGAAAAAGGGGGAAAATTAAGGGTGAGAAAGGTGGGAAATGGAAAAGATAGGAATAAAGGAAAGGAGACACAAACTCAAATATTGAAACTGCTGTTTACATTCACATTTTAATGTGTTTAAAGCATGGGTTCTTCAAACGTACTTTCTACTTGGAAATTCTCTGTCAATTTTTAAAATACTTTATTAAGACATAAAATTTTATTTGTAAAGATGTAAACAATTTTTGAAACTTGTATTTAAAAAATGACTATGCATGTGATCTGGCCAGACAGTTGGATGCTTGGGACAAAGCTAATGAACACAAATATCTGTAGATTTTAGCGTTTCTAAGACGACCCTTGGTTTCTAAATATACTTAATGGAAAAATGGCCTTGAAATGATTCACTTAAAATATTATCAAAATCTTGAAGTTGCAAACTCTGAGTAATGATTATGGAGATCCAGTACTGTCTTACCTGAGGGTTTCAGCCCCAGGCAGGATCATTATGGATTCAGCGAGACTGATAAATGACAATGGAACATTCTTGGGGTAATCAGGTTTATATCCATCTTTTTTCTCAAGGTGGTAGGTCAAGGACTACGGTCACGTCTGAATCCAGCAGTCTGCAGGTCCATAATACTCCATATCTGCCTCCCCCGGAGCACTGGGCAGAGCTCTTTATATAGTGACTCAGTTAATAATAGCTCATTGTCTATGGGTGTGGATGCATTAGCCTAGCAGTAGGCAAATTACACCATCAAGTAGTTTAGGGCCAGGTGAAGGTCCTTGAAAGGGAAGGAGCGACACATAGCAGCAATTCACCGGAGAGTTCCGCTTTATTAGGGAAAGGTGCTGGGTTATATAGGAGGGGGCATGAATTGATTGAGGTGTCACTTCTACGGGGCTGGTGGCTGTTGGCTAGGTGCTGGGATTGGGAGGGGGGCGAGAGGTGATTGGGCTTCAGGTGGCGCCGGCGGGAACTGAGGACCCCGAAGAGAAGCCGGAAGTTTGCCATCTTACTGGTGGGGACCCTTCATTCCCCCCTTTCTCCTCTATGGGTTTGTGGACGTTGCTTTCTCTCTGGCTGCTTCCTGCTGAACAAGGGCGGAGAAGGGAGTGAGGGCTTGAGGATTGGGAGGAAAGGGTTGATAGGACTCCCCGCAGTAAGGACGAGTAGATGTGGACTTCTTCAGGTTTGGAAATCAATGAAGGTTCCCTGTAACCATAGGTTGGCCAAGAGGATATGGGTGTCAGGAGCCAGGCGTCTGCGGCTATTGTTTCCAGGAACAGTTTCCAGTGGAGAGAGGGGTCCATCTCAGCGTGTGGTGAGGAGGTCACATGAGGGTGAGGGATCTTCTGTGGCCAGAAGCTGGTAGTTCCTGAGTAAAAGCTGGTTGAAAGCTTGATTAGAGATTTTTCCGACTTGGGATTTGATGAACTTTATTATACAGGGTAAGAAGAGACAGGCGAGAAGAATGATTATTATGGGGCCTGCAATGGGCCAGAGCCAGGTGAGGAGGGGGTTTGTTAGTATTGAAGAGAATGGGTTGGAATTGGAAGCAGAGTGGAGGCTGGAGGCAAGGTCGGTGAGTTTGGTAATGTCAGTTTCTACAATGCCGGATTCGTTGATGTAATAGCAGCACTCTTCCCGGAGGAAGACGCAGGTGCCGCCCTTCTCGGCTGTAAGCAGATCTAGGGCCCGCCGGTTTTGAAGGGTGACTTTAGCTAGCGAAGTGACCTGTCTTTGGAGAGAGGCTAGGGAATCGGCAGTGGATGTCAGGGCTCCCTCAAGTTTGGCATTGAGATCTCTAACTGCCCATAGAGAGTGACCCAAGGCTCCTCCCGAAAACCCTGCCCCAATGGCTGAGGTGATCAAAGAGATACCAACCATGATGGGAAGGAAAGCAGCCCTTTTTGTGCGCGAGGGCAAGGGAGGTTGGAGCTCAAGGAATTCTGCCATGCTGTAAAGTGTAAACTGTGGGATTAGGGTGACGAGAATGCAGGGTGTATCGGAGTTGAGAGGTAGTGAGTTGAAAAGACTGCCATTACACCAAAAGAAGTGTCCCGGTTGTGTAAAAGTCTTAGAGCCGGAGGTAGGGGTGTAGATAGAGAGGCAGTGAAGTGCGCTGGAGGGGGGTGGAGTTGGGCCTACACAGTGGTGGATGGTGAGATTATCTGCGTATTCTGGTTCCCATAGGGGTATGTCTGCCAGGGGGCAGAGGGGTTGTCTTTCTGCATGGAAGGAGTAGTTGGAAATATTAAGGGGCACGGCGGCCAGCAGTGGGCGCTGTAGTGATGCGCACAAGAAACAATTGGCTGTGTTAAGGGTGTGGTTGAGAAAGATGGTGGTGTCTTGAATGAGCTGTAATGAAGAGTAGGAGAAATGGGAAGAGGGGTGGGGATAAGAAGATGAAGAGGCGCCGTCAAGAGTTTGGATAATGACTTTTTCGGAATGTCTGATATCTGATGCAACTTGAGAGATCTGGGAATGAGAGGGAACATACTTTCGAGAGATATGAAGGGTACCGTGGGGGGTCGAGGACCCCCCGTAGTAAACTGAGGCTGTGACTCTGGCAGCCCATCGAGAGTCCCAGGGATCTGGGATTGATAAGGAGAATGAGCCGTTGGGATATTTCATGAAACGGTTGGAGGAGTAATACTGTGGGTACTGGAAGTTACCCATGTAGTGAATGGCGCAAGACCAGTAGGGACATCTCCTGTAGGTGTCTGGCCATCGCCTGCAATAGGCTTGTTTTTGGTCATAGAGGAAGCAGAGGTAGGGAGAATAAGGGTAGCTGCTAGTGAACACTTCGGTGGAGGGAGGAAAGTGGAGGTATAAAGGCTCAGAGCAGCTTTTCAGAGGGCAGTCTGGTGTGGCAATGAGGGCAGTAACTTTTGTTTGATGCTGTGTGTAAGTCTGTCTGACTTTGAATCGCCATACAAAGGAGGCTGGGGTGGTGGGGAAGACAATAGGAATGAGGAAAAAAAGCGAGAGAGCAGTAAAGGAGGAAAAAGTCATGATTCGGGTATGGATGGCAAAGGGGGTGAACGGGATTTTGGAGGAAAGAGGACAGTAAGGTCAGGAGTCTGGAGGGAGGGAGAGTCTGTAAACTTTTGTAGGTTAAGAGATCTTTTAGGTGATGTGGGGACAGAATGGTAAGGGGCGCCCTGAATGTCAGTTTATGAGCTTCTTTCTGCAAGAGCTGTCTAGCGGCTAATGCTCGTAGGCAGGGGGCCCATCCCTGAACTGTGGGGTCTAATTGCTTGGAGAGATAAGCTACTGGGGCAAAGGATGGGCCATAATATTGGCCTAGGACTCCTAGAGCTTGACTGGACCTCTCATGAATGTATAATGAGAAGGGCTTCGACAAATCAGGAAGATGGAGAGCTGGGGCTTCTACAAGGGCTTGACGGAGCTTAATGAAGGAGTGTCGGGGTGAGGAGGATAATGGTTTTTTAGGGGGGCTCTTGCTGAGGTTGTATAGGGGTCTTGCCAACAGGGTGCAGGGAGAAGTTAGGGATCTACGTTCTAAAATATCTAGCTAGGCTTAGAAAGGGCCTAGAAAGGAAAGGATTTTTGTCTTGGTTTTGGGAATGGGCAGGTCAGAGAGGAGCCATTTTCTGTCTAAGGTAATGGACTTTCTTTGTTGAGATAGAAGGAATCTGAGGTAAGTGATAGGAGGGGAAGAGATTTGAGCTTTGACGGGGGATACTCGGTAACTTCTGGAAGCTAGAAGGTTAAGTAGGGAGGCAGTGTCAAGTTGAGACTGTTCCCACGAGAGACTGCAGAGTAGAAGATTGTCTATGTATTATAAGGTGGACTTGGAGTGATCATGATGAAACTGTTTGAGGTCCTGAGCTAGGACCTGTCTAAAAATATGGGGACTATCTCGGAAGCTTTGTGGCAAAACTGACCAAGTGAGTTGTTTAGAATGTCTTGTGTATGGGTCCGTCCAGGTGAAGATGAAAAAATCTTGGGAGCAGGGGTCTAGAGGGATAGAAAAATGGGTCTTTGAGATCTAGGACTGAGAAGTGGGATGCTGAGGCTGTATGGATTTGGAACTAAGGGATGGATAGGGACAATGGCTATGTTGATGAGGCGAAGGTCTTGGAC